TTTGGCATTTATTTATTTATTTATTTATTATTCGAACTTCTATGCGGCCACTCCCCTGGGGCTCGGAGCGGCTTACAAGAATAGCTAAAATCTAACAAAATTTAAAAGCAATTTAAAACAATTTAAAAACAGCGATATCAAAAATCAAAGGCCTGTCTTACATGCCCTGCGGAAAGCTGGTAAGTCCCGCAAGGCATGGACTTCAGGTGGCAGAGTATTCCAGAGTGATGGTGCCACTGCTGTGAAGGCTCTGCATCTGGTTGCTGTTAGACGCAAGGTCTTGACACTGGGAACTTCCAATAGATCTTGGTGCTCAGAACGGAGGGATCTCTGGGGTTGGTAAGGGGTGAGGCGGTCCCTCAGGTACATCGGCCCCAGACCATGCAAGGCCTTAAAGGTGAGTACCATCCCTTTGAAAGTGATCCGGTGCTCAATTGGTAACCAATGCAGCTGTAGTAAGATTGGGGTTATGTGGCATCTCATCGGAATTCCCGCAAGAAGCCGAGCAGCTGCATTTTGTACCAACTTGAGCTTCCGGATCACCGACAGAGGAAGGCCAATGTAGAGGGCGTTACAGTAGTCCAGTCTTGAGATGACCATGGCCTGGATCACCGTAGCTAGGTCGTCCCTGGACAGGGAGGGGGCCAGCCGTCTAGCCTGCCGCAGGTGAACGAAGGCGGTTCTGCTCACGGCGGAGACCTGGGCCTCAAACGTCTCAGAGATCTCACAAAATTTCACTACTGCTGTACATGGATGACCTGAAGCTGTATGCAAAAACTGAAACTGAAATCCAGTCTCTGACTAACACTGTCTGAATCTTTAGCACAGATATCAACATGGAGTTTCGTTTGGACAAATGTTTGAGAGTGGGATTGTAGGTAAATTATAAATCCCAGCCACTACAACTCCCAAATGTCAAGATTCTATTTTCCCCAAACTCCACCAGTGTTCACATTTGGGCATATTGGGTATTCGTGTAGAGTTAGATGATGTAGATCCATCATCATCATCATCATCATCATCATCATCATCATCATCTCTACGTGGGGTTGCCTTTGAAGACGGCTCAGAAGCTCCAATTAGTCCAACGGGCGGCAGCCATGATACTAACAGGAGCGGGGCGCAGGGAGCATACAACTCCTCTGCTGTACCAGCTCCACTGGCTGCCGATTTGCTACCGGGCTCAATTCAAAGTGCTGGCGTTGGCCTTTAAAGCCCTAAACGGTTCTGGCCCAACTTATCTATCCGAACGTATCTCGGCCTATCAGCCCACCAGGACCCTAAGATCTTCTGGGGAGGCCCTGCTCTCTATCCCGCCTGCTTCACAGGTGCGGCTGGCGGGAACGAGAGACAGGGCCTTTTCTGTGGTGGCCCCTCGGCTTTGGAATGCCCTCCCCATAGAGGTGAGATCAGCCCCTTCGCTGATGGTATTTCGAAAAAGGTTGAAGACATGGATGTTTAAACAAGCATTCGATTAATCTGGTGCAACGAAACTGATGAACAAGGATTGGTTAATCACAGACGACGAAATTGGATTGCGACTACAATTAAGAGATGCATTGGATTATTATTGGTGGCCCAATAATATTGTGTATTGTGTATGTGTTTTTATGCTTTTTAATGGAATATTGCTGCTTGTCGTTGTGTTGTAAACCGCGTTGAGTCGCCGATTTAGGCTGAGAAACGGCGGTATATAAGCACAGTAATAAATAAAATAAATAAATAATCATCATCATCATCATTTAATAACTTATTAATCGCCCTCCACCCGAGAATGCTCCAGGCAATTTACAGCTAAATTATAAAAGATAAAATACATACATACAAAAATTAAAAATCAACAGAGATCGAATGCTCTAGTGAAAAGCCAGGTCTTAAGTCCAAGAGTAAAAGGCCCTCAGTCACGCATGGCTCTCATGTAGGGCGGCAAGGAATCCCACAAGGCAGGGGCAGAAATAGAGAAAGCCCACCTGCGCCTGGTCCTTTCCAAGGGCACTTCTCTAGGACCCGGTATATGGAGTAAGTCACGTTGGGCTGGTCGTTGCGACCTCCGATGATGGGAGAAGGAGAGGCGGTCCCTAAGGTACGATGGACCCTGGCCGTAAAGAGTTTTAAAGGTCAGAACTAGCATCTTATACAGGCCACGGCAATCAGTTGGAAGCCAATGCAAATGTTGCAGCACTGGTGTTATATGGCATTTCATGGGCATTCTTGTGAGTAGCCTGGCTGCCACATTCTGAACAATACAGAGCTTTCGGGTCGTAGACATCGGAAGGCCCACATACAGGGCGTTGCAATAGTCCAGCCTAGACGTGACCGTGGCATGGATGACCGTTGCCAGAGCCTCGTCAGATAGGTAGGGTGCCAGTTGCCTCGCTTGTCGTAGATGGAAAAAGGCCTGTTTGCTGGCAGCTTCCATTGTCAGCTGTGAATCCAGGACGACACCTAAGCTCTTAACAGTGGTCGATGGAGATAGGGCGGCACCATCGAAGGTGGGCAACGGAGGAGTCAGACCTGCCGGGCGGCCATGCCAGAGAATCTCAGTCTTCGCCGGGTTCACCTTCAGTCTGCTAGCACGTAGCCAGTTTGACAGAGCTTCCAGACATCGGGTGAAATTGTCTGGAATTGACGTTGCTCCAGGCTCCAGGCGCAGAAGGAGTTGTGTATCGTCCGCACATTGGTATCTGGATGTAGGTGAACTACAACTCCAAAACCAAAGGTCAATGCCCACCAAACCCTTCTAGTGTTTTCTGTTGGTCATGGGATGTGTGCCAAGCTTGGTTCAATTCCATCGTTGGTGGAGTTCAGAATGCTCTTTGATTGTAGGTGAACTATAAATCCCAGCAACTACAACTCCCAAATGACAAAACCAGAATTTTTTGAGTGATGGTCACTCCTTGTGTTGTGAGATGTTTTGTTGCCAAATTTGGTGTGATTTCCTTCATTCTTTTTAAGGTACTCATGACGCACAGAACATTTTTATATATATAGATAGTAGGCTTGGGCGATCAAGAAAAAAATTGGTTCTAAACTCGTTTTGTTTCTAGGGTGTGCTAGCGTTTCAAAATTCTGAGGACTTCCGAAATTTAAGATTTCGAAATTTTGAAATTTTCGAAATTTCGTAAATTACGAATCAATTCGTTAATGGCGGACGCGATTGCGCAATATACTAAAAAAATGTCCAAATGGGACAGGGGGACCTTCTGAAGCTTCCCTCTCCCTCTGTTGTTGACTGTTGGTGTGATAAAACAAACAACTATATTATATTATATTATTATTATTATATTATTATTATATTATATTGTTATATATTATATTATAATATTATTATATTATATTATTAGACATTAGGCTAGACCCCTCCCTGTTGATATTCCGCAGGAAGTTAAAGACCTGGTTGTTTGAGAAGGCATTTGAATAGAAGTGCAATGACGGGTAACTCGACCATAGGAATGGAACAACGGAAATGGTATTTGGATTGTGAACTTGACGATGAGACAACTCGGAATGGCTTGTAGTTATATTATGTTTTTGATGTGATGTTTTGATAATGATGTACTATGGATTATTTTTTGTATGTTGTATTTTGCACCTGTTTTTAGGCCTGTGCGGTTTCGTTCGTTAATTCGTTAATTCGTTATTAATTCGTTATTTTTGGCATTTCCGAAGCGATATTGAAGCACTTTTTCAAACCCGGAAGGGTTTAAAAATAACGAGGCGGCAACCCCATAGATTTTACGAGCTTCCGCCCGTTTCGTTATTGGGGTGCAGGCTGCTGGTGCCTGGGAGCCAATCCGGCGCTCCCAAGCAGTGCACCATGGGTCCGTGGCTGTTTGTTTTTGATTGGCCGGCGAGCCCTTTCAAAGCGGCTCCGCACGGCCCGTAGCTTGCTGCAGAGGGCGAGGGAGTTTGCATTGGGTTGGCTTGGCAATGGCTGCTAGCAACTGGGATTGGATTCATTCCTTGCTGCTGTGAGTGCTGCTTGCTTCATTTGCTGTCTCTTGCCTGTGTTTGGTCCACATTTGGGCCATTTTTTGGTTAATTGTCCATTTTAAAATATTTTTAATATTATTTTTTAATATTATTTTTTAATATTATTTTTAATATTATTCTTAAAAAATATTCTAAAAAGAAAAGACTCTTCTGTTGGTGTGTGCTCTCATTTGCTGTATCCTGCCTGTGTTTGGTCCACATTTGGGCCATTTTTTGGTTAATTTTCCATTTTAAAATATTTTTAAATATTATTTTAATATTATTTTTTATTATTTTTAATATTATTTTTTAAATATTATTTTAATATTATTCTTAAAAAATATTCTAAAAAAGAAAAGACTCTTCTGTTGGTGTGTGCTCTCATTTGCTGTCTCCTGCCTGTGTTTGGTCCACATTTGGGCCATTTTTTGGTTAATTTTCCATTTTAAAATATTTTTTAATATTATTTTAATATTATTCTTAAAAAATACAAAAAATATGCTAAAAATTCGTTAATATTTACGAAATTTCGTAAATACCAAAACTTTTTTGGGGGAAAGTTTTGTAATTATTTTAAATATCGAAACAAAAAAACACCCCAATTACAAATCGATTTTAGAAACAAATTTTTTCTTGATCAAACAGGCCTAGTCACTATCTGTGCTTTTGTGAGCATATTCTGCTTCTGAAGCATGTTCTGGCATTTAAAATAAAAAAATCTGTTTTACCCTTGTTGTAAACCGCGCTGAGTCGCTTGTCGGGCTGAGAAACAAGCAAAGTAAATAAATAAATAAATAAATAATATACAATAATAATATAATATAATATAATAATACATACGAAAATAATTACAAAAATTGGAAAAAATTGTTTCGATTCTTAATTACTCCTCACACTATCCCTGCATGGCTCGATATTCGATCGAAAGCTAATTTAAATATGAATTCATAACGAATAACGAAATTAACGAACTGGATCACCCAAGCCTAATAGATAGTAATGCTACCTCTTCTTTGTTCCTTCCACAGAGATGTCCAGGGCCTGGGGATCAGCCTGGTGGGACACCAGAGGAAAATCTTGACCAGCATCCAGATCATGCGGTCTCAGCTGCTCAACACCATGGGCTCCCAAAGACACCTCTGATGGCCCTTCCTCCTCATCCCTGGATGTTTCCATGCTCCTTCCCTCGGTTTCACGCAAGCGAACACTAATGGGGAGGAATTCCGTCCCCAAAATAATAAGTGGCCGCATGGCGGTAGCAATAGGATCTTGCTACACAGTGTGAGGCCCTGCTAATCCTCACCGTCAAACTTAAGGTGACCACTGACTTCAAAGGCATGGAGCATAAATCAATATGGACGTCGCTTGAAGAATTGAGCAGACAGCAACCCGCTTCTACCATGCCGTGGTGCTTCTAATTCTTTGGCATGACTCGGGACAAAGATGTGTAGACACAGGGTATATATAAGCATTGAAAAGGCCTTCTCCTGCCATCCCAGTGCAATAAATGTTGAGGGAGCTGAGGAGGAACATCTCACACAACAAAGGGATGGCGGGTGGTTGGACTGGGTGGCCTTTGTAGACTCTACAATTCTCTACTTCGGTACCTTAAAACTGGCAGGATTCTTTGAGACGTTGGCCAACACTCAACACTTGAAGCTCGTTTGCTGTGACTCCAAGACTTTAGAGTCACAAATTCAGGTCTCCTTCGAGCTTTCCACATCTGGCTGGGTTGGCAACCAATCCTTCTTCCAGCTCTACGGAAAGTTGGACTGTTGTTTCCCCGTTGCTGCTAAATAGAAGGATCTTCACCTACGTAAACACTCTCCTCTGTGCCAAATGCTGGTCCTTCTCATCCCAAGGGCACACCACTATAATCCCAATGCTTTGGTCTACGGCAGTGGTTCTCAACTTTGGGTCCCCAGATGTTTTTGGCCTTCAACTCCCAGAAATCCTAACAGCTGGCAAACTGGCTGTGATTTCTGGGAGTTGTAGGCCAAAAACATCTGGGGACCCCAGGTTGAGAACCACTGGTCTACGGAGTGTGGTTGTGTAGAAGGAAGATTGATGTGTGTGTTTCTTTTCACTCCTTAACATATGGGATCCACCACCTTAGCACAAGTTCCAGTACAGTGCTCCCTCACTACTTCGCGGTTCGCTTTTTGCAGACTCGCTGTTTCACGGATTTTTTAAAAATATTAAAATACAGTACTGTATACAAGTAGCGAGGGAACAGTGGAGGAGGAAGGAGGGGCAGATGGATGGATCTCTGCATAGTCTCAGCCTCCTCACCCTCTTTACCTTCCTTCTCGTCCTCCTCGGTGCCACCGCGCATGCGCCATGGGGCCCAGGCTGGGCGCGAGCTCGAGGCGGAGGGAAAGCAACACCCAGCAGCACCCAGACACACAGAGAGATTGATTGGGAGACTGAGGGCCATCTTACCGAGGGAGGGTGTAAATAGAATAGCACAGTGTTCCCTCGCTATTTCGCAGTTCGCTTTTTGCGGACTCTCTCTTTCGCGGTTTTTTAAAGAAAGAATTTAAAATACAGTACTGTATACAAGTAGTGAGGGAACACTGGAAAAGGAAGGAGGGGCGGATGGATGGAGCTCTGCGTAGTCTCAGCCTCCTTGCCCTCTTTACCTTCCTCCTCCTCCTCTTCCTCCTTCTCGGTGCCACCGTGTATGCGTCATGGAGCCCAGGCTGGGCGTGAGCTCGAGGCGGAGGGAAAGCAGAAGCCTGACACACAGAGAGATTGATTGGGGGGGGGCATCTTCCAGAGGGAGGGCGTAAATAGAATAGTACGGTGTTCCCTCACTATTTCGCGGTTCGCTTTTTGCAGATTTGCTGTTTCACAGTATTTTTTAAAAATGAATTTAAAATACAGTACTGTATACAAGTAGCAACAGAACAATGGAGGAGGAAGGAAGGGCAGATGGATGGATCTTTGCATAGTTTCAGCCTCCTCACCCTCTTTACCTTCCTTCTCCTTCTCGGCGCCACCGCGCATGCGCCATGGAGCCCAGGCTGGGCGTGAGCTTGAGGTGGAGGGAAAGCATCACCCAGATACATAGAGAGATTGATTGATTGAGAGAGGGGCCATCTTCCAGTGGGAGGGCGTAAATAGAATAGTACAGTGTTCCCTCGCTATTTCGCGGTTCGCTTTTTGCGGACTCGGTTTTTCTCGGTCTTTTAAAAGAATGAATTCAAAATACAGTACTGTATAAACGTAGTGAGGGATCACTGGAGGAGGAAGTAGGGGCAGATGGATGGATCTCTGTGTAGTCTCAGTCTCCTTCCAGAGGGAGGGTGTAAATAGAATAGTACAGTGTTCCCTCGCTATTTCGCGGTTTGCTTTTTGCAGACTCGTTGTTTCTCGGTTTTTTAAAAGAATGAATTTAAAATACAGTACTGTATACAAGTAGTGAGGGAACACTGGAGGAGGAAGGAGGGGCGGATGGATAGATGGATATCTGTGTAGTCTCAGTCTCCTCACCCTGTTTACCTCCTTCTCCTCCTTCTCGGCATCAATGCGCATGCACCATGGAGTCCAGGCTGGGCGTGAGCTCGAGGCGGAGAGAAAGCATCACCCAGATACAGAGAGAGATTGATTGGGAGAGAGAGAGGCCATCTTCCAGAGGGAGGGCATAAATAGAATAGTACAGTGTTCCCTCGCTATTTCGCGGTTCGCTTTTTGCGGACTCGTTCTTTCTCGTTTTTTTAAGGAATGAATTTAAAATACAGTACTGTATACATGTAGCGAGGAGGAAGGAGGGATGGATGGATCTCTGCATAGTCTCAGCCTCCGCACCCTCTTTACCTCCTTCTCCTCCTCCTTCTCGGTGCCACCGCGCATGCGCCATCGAGCCCAGGCTGGGCACGAGCTCGAGGCGGAGGGAAAGCAGCACCCAGATACAGAGAGAGATTGATTGATTGAGAGAGGGGCCATCTTCCAGAGGGAGGGCATAAATAGAATAGTACAGTGTTCCCTCGCTATTTTGCGGTTCGCTTTTTGCGGACTCGTTGTTTCTTGGCATCACTGCGCATGCGCCATGGAGCCCAGGCTGGGCGCGAGCTCGAGGCGGAGGGAAAGCAGCACCCAGATACAGAGAGAGATTGATTGATTGAGAGAGGGGCCATCTTCCAGAGGGAGGGCATAAATAGAATAGTACAGTGTTCCCTCGCTATTTTGCGGACTCGTTGTTTCTTGGCATCACTGCGCATGCGCCATGGAGCCCAGGCTGGGCGCGAGCTCGAGGCGGAGGGAAAGCAGCACCCAGATACAGAGAGAGATTGATTGATTGAGAGAGGGGCCATCTTCCAGAGGGAGGGCATAAATAGAATAGTACAGTGTTCCCTCGCTATTTTGCGGACTCGTTGTTTCTTGGCATCACTGCGCATGTGCCATGGAGCCCAGGCTGGGCGCGAGCTCGAGGCGGAGGGAAAGCAGCACCCAGATACAGAGAGAGATTGATTGATTGAGAGAGGGGCCATCTTCCAGAGGGAGGGCATAAATAGAATAGTACAGTGTTCCCTCGCTATTTTGCGGACTCGTTGTTTCTTGGCATCACTGCGCATGTGCCATGGAGCCCAGGCTGGGCGCGAGCTCGAGGCGGAGGGAAAGCAGCACCCAGATACAGAGAGAGATTGATTGATTGAGAGAGGGGCCATCTTCCAGAGGGAGGGCATAAATAGAATAGTACAGTGTTCCCTCGCTATTTCGCGGTTCGCTTTTTGCAGATTCGCTGTTTCATGGTTTTTTTTAAAAGGAATTTAAAATACAGTACTGTATACAAGTAGTGAGGGATCACTGGAGGAGGAAGGAGGGGCAGATGGATGGATCTCTGCGTAGTCTCAGCCTCCTCACCCTCTTTACCTTCCTTCTCCTTCTCGGCGCCACCGCGCATGCGCCATGGAGCCCAGGCTGGGCGTGAGCTTGAGGTGGAGGGAAAGCATCACCCAGATACATAGAGAGATTGATTGATTGAGAGAGGGGCCATCTTCCAGTGGGAGGGCGTAAATAGAATAGTACAGTGTTCCCTCGCTATTTCGCGGTTCGCTTTTTGCAGATTCGCTGTTTCATGGTTTTTTTTAAAAGGAATTTAAAATACAGTACTGTATACAAGTAGTGATGGGACACTGGAGGAGGAAGGAGGAGCAGAAGGATGGACCTCTGTGTAGTCTCAGTCTCCTCACCCTCTTTACCTTCCTCCTCCTCCTCCTTCTCGGTGCCACCGCGCATATAGCATGCATCACCTTGACAGCATCATCTTTTAAGATTTTAAACAGTTCAGCTGGGATCCCGTCGTCTCCTGCTGCCTTGTTGTTAGCAATGCTTCTTAAGGCCCATTCAACCTCACTCCTCAGGATGTCTGGTTCTAATTCATTCACCACATCATCAAAACTATCCTCGATATTATTATCCTTCCTATACAGATCTTCTGTATAGTCTCGCAGCACCCAGACACAGAGAGAAATTGATTGATTTAGAGGGGGGGGGCATCTTCCAGAGGGAGGGCGTAAATAGAATAGTACAGTGTTCCCTCGCTATTTCGCGGTTCGCTTTTCGCGGACTCGCTGTTTCTCGTTTTTTTAAAAGAATGAATTTAAAATACAGTACTGTATACAAGTAGTGAGGGAACACCGGAGGAGGAAGGAGGGGCAGATGGATGGATCTCTGCGTAGTCTCAGCCTCTTCACCCTCTTTACCTACCTTCTCCTCCTCAGTGCCACCTTGCATGCGGCATGGAGCCCAGGCTGAGCGCGAGCTCGAGGCAGAGGGAAAGCAGCACCCAGACACAGATTGATTGAGAGAGACGGGGGCCATCTTACCAAGGGAGGGCGTAAATAGAATAGTACAGTGTTCCCTTGCTATTTTGCAGTTCGCTTTTTGCAGATTCGCTGTTTCATGGTTTTTAAAAAAGGAATTTAAAATACAGTACTGTATACAAGTAATGATGGGACACTGGAGGAGGAAGGAGGAGCAGAAGGATGGATCTCTGTGTAGTCTCAGTCTCCTCACCCTCTTTACCTTCCTCCTCCTCCTCCTTCTCGGTGCCACCGCGCATATGGCATGCATCACCTTGACAGCATCATCTTTTAAGATTTTAAACAGTTCAGCTGGGATCCCGTCGTCTCCTGCTGCCTTGTTGTTAGCAATGCTTCTTAAGGCCCATACAACCTCACTCCTCAGGATGTCTGGTTCTAATTCATTCACCACATCATCAAAACTATCCTCGATATTATTATCCTTCCTATACAGATCTTCTGTATAGTCTCGCAGCACCCAGACACAGAGAGAAATTGATTGATTTAGAGGGGGGGGGCATCTTCCAGAGGGAGGGCGTAAATAGAATAGTACAGTGTTCCCTCGCTATTTCGCGGTTCGCTTTTTGCGGACTCGGTGTTTCTTGGTTTTTTAAAAGAATGAATTTAAAATACAGTGCTGTATACAAGTAGTGAGGGAACACTGGAAGAGGAAGGAGGGGTGGATGGATGGATCTCTACATA